ATCTAAGTATTTATATTGTAACACGCCCATTCATGTATAAATTAAATTAAATTTTAGTCTTAACACATAAAAATGTTTTTAGTTATAGAGTGCGATGAATTTCAAACATACGATCTTCACTCAATTACCTAGCTCTTTCACAAAATTTGTAACGACAACACAGTACTGAATTTTTTTTCCCGGGTGCTATAGACTTCTCCCTCTCTATCTCACTATGTAGTAATTATATTTACACCCGTAATTGTATGCAAGAAAAAAAAACAAAGGACAAAAAAAAATGGAAGGGTATTGTTGGAAAATTGCGAATCGGAGGTATAGATTCCCATTTACATATTCGACAGTAACGATGGAGATGCGAAACACAACATAGAAAAGAATCAACTATCAAACAGACCCACACTTGCAAGTTTAAGAAAGAATAATAAATTAATAATAACACCTAATTATTTATTATTATTATATTAGGGGAAAGATTCTCAAAGATTGGAATCTAATGGCTGTAAACACTTGACATATCTCCACACTTAAATTCTTAAATAGAGAAATCTCTGCCCATACTGGGAGGTTGGATCCCACACGCATGTTTGAGATTCCTCATTGCTAAGCTGCTGTTTTCAAAATAAATAACTCATCCACGCGCGTTACAATCTGCGTGTCAGAAATAAACCAATCATATACGGTATTTGTAATTTATTTTAAAGTTTTTTATATTTATTGCTTGAAATATAAAATATAAAATAATAGTTAAAATTATAAGATGATAAAAGTAATAGTTAATGAGTTAAGGTGAATAGGTGATTATAGTTGGCATATAGCAGAATATGATTGAACAAAAAAAATTGTAATTAAATTACAAAGAAATTCTTAAAATTAAGCAACCAAAAAAAGGAAGATTTTTCAAGCTTTTTCCCTCTCGAGTTTGATTATCTTTAGATAAAAATTATTTTTAAACGAAGGATCGATGACCGTTTGATTATGGGTGTTAAAATTATATAAATTACGTTGAATCCAAATTAGTTTAATTTGTATATTGCTCAGTTTCTAAATAAATCTGATAGGCAAATGTCGAGGTTACACTTTCATTCAATAATTTCGTGTCGATTAAGAATAACAATTTTGTAATTGATTGGTACCATCTAAAAATTTGATTAAACATTTAAACAACTAAATTATAATTTGAACTCGTTAAGATTAAAGTCAATAAATTATGGGTCTAAGAGGTTACTCGGCCTTGCCCTGAGAATTTTTCTATAATCTTCATTTATCAAGAATCATCAATCACACGGAGATACATGTATACTTTGAACCAAAAAAAAATAACTAACCACTCTGTTTCCAAACAAAAATGCTTGTAAATTAGAAACTAAAACACATATCTTGAAGTTGGTAATGTGACTATTTTAGGATATTAAGATAACACAAATGAATAAGTTCATTATGTCATATTGAATAAATTAATCGTATCAAATCACTGAAATGTGATAGTCTGCTTTTGATTAAATCGGAGACGAGATTAATCAAAGTTTGTGTAAATTAACTCAAATATTTTTGACCATTCAATAAAAAAAATTTATTTAAACGTGGATAGGAGTTGGAGGGAACGGCTTGCGAAGTGCATTACTAATCTTCGAGGTGACAAACCTATTTTTTGTATTTTAAAATTGAGTAAGTTAGATTCAATTAAAGTTTATTTAATGCATACCTAATTTAATTACAGGTGCAGATAACTTGGATCATGTTGTGTATACTTAAGTTTATCTTAAATCATTTATCAAATAGACCTCGACAGTAAATTTGTTTGTGACTAAAACCCGTTAAGACTAAATTTAAATTTGTTAATTTTATGTCGAATTTGTGTCAGATAGAAAGATCATATTATCAATTACCAACCCAAAAACCCTTTTTTTTTTTTTTGGTACAATAGGTAGATGTGTATAGGTTAGTTTACACGCACATCCGTTAATCTTTTTTTCAATTCAATCAAAGACATACCATCCATGTTGGAAATAGAGTACTCGCGAGAAAAGTTGCAAAAATTCAAATTCAAGACATTTAGTTTACAGCTCGCTCGCCCTTATTATTACTTAAGCTACTCATTAATATTTTTTTTGGTTCAACAATCAGGGGCGTTCGGCCCTGCTTACACGTATCTTGAGTAATTTCTTTTCTAGTTTGATGAAAGACAAATTATTTATACATAGATTAAAATATTCATAAAAGATAAATTTATCGTGATCTTATTTTAAAAAATTGTGAAGATCCTAATTTAGAAGGTCAATGACTCATCATAGTTAACTCTTGAGCTAACTGTCTTGGATCCTATGAATCCCTCAGTTACTTTATTTTGTTTTTTTTTTCCTTCCTTTGAACAGTTGGAGACCTGTCACAACTATTAATTGTTTGGACTTATTATCATAATGCAATCTTTGAATACATCTGTAATTGCTCGTAAACCACACGACTCGAATAAATCAAAACTCTCTTATAAGATTCGTACTTGGCATAAAATAAGTTCCAGGAAGTACCTGACCCTAAAAAAAAAAATAACTTGCAAGCATCTCCAAATCTTACTTTAACCCTACGACTACTGTGGGTCAAATTTTGTATGAAAATTTATATAATCACCTGTAAAATACGTACATCGAATGATTTAAAATTTTTTTAATATATTCAAATTTAGAGTCTCAAGAAAGCAACTCTAAATGAATTTAAAAGTTAGATTTAAAAATTTCAATTATTAAATAAATAATGAATCATAATAAATACGAAGACCTACAATAAAATTAACGATTATAATTATCAAATTTAATTTTTAAATTTACGTAATATTGTTTAAATTAAAATTCAGTCGGAGGAGTGATGATACGTGAAATAAAATAGACAGCTCAGAGAAAAGTTACGTCAAATAGGATTACCCACATTTTCCAAACGAGGATTTTGGATTTATCATGGATGTGGACACGACTCTAAGAGACACAACACTAGTTAAGACGGCCCACAACCTAAGGTTTTCCTGGAAGGACAATGGAAGAATTTTACCATCGGACGATACCTCGGGCGGGATGTCATTATTCGTGGAAGGTCACGTCATATCTTGGATAGGGGATTTTCTGACGACTAAATATTTTTCTATAAAAGTAATGATTATTATTTAAAGAGAAAAATCTTATTATACCCGTCTATTTTTTCAAATAATATAAAAAAATCATGAGCATGAATCTGTGAACTAATCCTGTTCTTCAACACAACAAATCACTTTACTTCATATATTTTTTACTTACTTTAGCTCGGGACTAAACCCATTTAATGGACAACTCATTCATTTTTTTGTACTTGTAGATTTTTTACGCCACGAAGAAGAATTTTTTTTTGGAATCTTAGAAGTATGGACAGACAGAGACTGATACCCTCTGAGAAAATAAGAAAGAGGGCACGTTTTCTTTTATTCAATTCAAAAGAGAGAATCTGACCGTCGGTAAAGAAACAGCTAGCGAGACTAGTCAATTTCAATATTCCACCAAAAAAAACAAAAAGATTCTAAAATATGTTTGTTTTGATTGACCATCTTGTACCTTCGTAGATAGTATCAATCTTATTCAAAAAAAATTCTACGTTTTGTATTTATGACACCATTTTGATTCTTTTTTTTTTTTTTCTAAATAATTTGATAGAGTTGTCACTTATTTGATCCGACTCTGATACCACTTTAATTACTTTGTAATGAGGGCAGACTCAACGAAACTCGCAACTCGAAAACTTAAGAGTGTATTTGACTTAAATCTCAAAAAATATTATTTAAAAATAATTTTTAGGAAGAATTTTAAGAAAGTATTTTTAAAAAATTTTATATTGCAAAACATGTATGATTATATATTTTTTAAAATACTTTTAAATAATAAAATTTGTTTAGACAATATTTACAAAACCACCCCAATTTTTATCTTATCACACGTACTCCTTCTCTCCCTCGCCTCATCTCTCTGTCTTTCCCTCTTTCTCTTTATTTCTCTCTCTATATTATCTTCTCACACTCGAGCAGTAAATAGACACACACACCCACACACTCACACAGCAAACACACACACACATTGCACACAACAACACCTACACACAGATCTATGTGTATACATATGAAATTTGGATTTAATAGAAAGGGCGAGAGGGAAAGTTGTGAGAGAGAAGGGTTGCTAAACTGAGTTGACAGAGAGAATGTGAAAATGTCTTCGACGAAACTTGAAGCCAAGACCTTATTAAAGAGGAGATGAGTGGTTTTCGTGTTTTCATTTTAGCTTAGAAAATTGAGAGATCATTTTTTTATTCTCAAAAAATATGGTTCAGTTTCCACTTTTTTAAAAAAATTGGAGGACAAAAAATATGGCGAAACAAATTTTCTCTTATTTTTTAAAATTTGAGAACAAAAACTATTTTACAAACACAATCCAATCACTTCCTAAGTTGTTTGATAAAAAATCGTCTAAGATCTAATAAACGCATGCTACACATCTGTGTAGTCAATGGGAGATTTGTGATGTCCACACCTTTTTTTCTTTCATATAAACATATCTCTTTGTCTATAAAATATTTAATATTTATATTGCACCATGTGACAATGTCACAAGGTGTTCACATTCAATGAAAAAATATCATAACACTGATTTGTGAGATATATATATATATATATATTAATTTTTTTTTAAAAAAAATTCTAACAACTTTATAAGGAATAACAACTGATTGAAAATCTACAATATTTCATGAATATGTATACCATATATGTCATGAATATCCTGATCTCGACGTGAATGACTTGTTTTTGATCGAATTAAAGAGAAGATTAATCGAGATGCGTATAAGTTAATCTGAACTTTTCTGTCTATTGCAACAAAAAATAAAAAAAAAAATCACATTGGTCCACAAGATATTTTAGTCATTTAACGAATTATAGGGTTGGGTTTTGGGTGGACTTTGAATCTGGGTGGGCGAGACGAGCGGTGAACAGAAAAAATACGCGACGACGCGAACGTTCGTGACATATACATGTCTATCCATCTATCTACACATATCGCTCTGTCAAAACCCGGCGTTGTTTAGCAGAATCTTCGCCTTCAATCCTCTCTCTCTCTCCAGAAAAAGGCACTTTCTCTCTCTCCATCTCTCTCTCTCTCTATATATACACATTCATATATATCTCTTTGCTATGATTTTCTATATCAGATAATTGAAAGATCTAGTCTGAGAGTGAAGGATCGAAAATGGTTTCGTTTCCACCTGAACTGAGCTTAGATGTGAGATCAACTTACATTCCCAAAACGATAAGTGAATTTATCGGAGAAGTTTCGATGATCGGTAACGTATCGGAGAGGTTAACCAAGGTTGATGATTTCGTTAAGAGATTAGAGGAAGAAATGAGGAAGATCGATGCGTTTAAACGCGAGCTTCCTCTTAGCATGCTTCTTCTCAACGATGGTTCGTTTCATTTCCTTTTAGATTGTTATCTTTCATCTGAGTTTGGATTTTACGTTTCTCTTTATATTTCGATTAATGCTTTTATACATGTTAAATATGATTTAGTTCTGGGTATGGATTATTGATATCTGATGATTTCGACTACTGGGTCGTTTTGTTTTTTTTTTTTTTTTGTTTTTTGTTCTTGGGTGAAATTCATCCTAGAAAATGGGTTTTCAGATTTGATGATTTTGCTAATGTTTTGTTTTGGGGTTCGGCAGGAGATATAATTTTGGGAGATAGGTTTTTGGTTTTTGATGATTGTGCTTAACGGGTTGATATTTTTTTGGATTGATACAATTTTTTTTGTGTTATTGCAGCGATTCTGACATTAAAGGAGGAAAAATTGCAGTGTCGGAAAGCAAATGTTAAACCAGTTTTGGAGGAATTCATACCGCTAAAGAAGACTTGTGATGAAGATGAAAAATGTGAGGTTATGAAGGAAAAGGACAGTAGAGATAAGAGGAACTGGCTGAGCTCTGTGCAGCTCTGGAACAATGATCATCACCCAAATATCAATTTCAACTACACTCAGGCACAAAATTCAACCATCGAAATCAAAAAGGTAAAATAGAATCATGTTATTTGACCAAAAAATTCATTGGATTCTTTTCTTTTAACATTTATGAGTTTCTTTTTATATGTAAATGGGTATGAATTAATTGTATTTGTTTGTTTGGTTATAGAGACCTGATGAAGAATTAAATCGTCCCATGATTGTTGATCCTGCATATCAGTCATGTAAAAGCAGGGCTGAAGGAAGAGCTTTTATGCCATTAAAGGGGTCCTCTGGTTTTCCTATGGCAGTGACAAGGAGGGAAGATAAGGAGGAACTACCAATTGCTAGGCTTTCCCTTGTCACTCCTGGAATGAAGAATCTGGGGGAAGAATTAGGTTCTAGTGGTTTGAGTTCAAAAACCACTGGTATCAGAGCAGGTTCCTCTTCTGCCACCATTATTCAACCGAATTTACAAAATGGCCCACAGCCATCACAGCAGCAGACTAATAGGAAACAGAGAAGATGCTGGTCACCAGAGTTGCATCGACGATTTGTTAATGCCCTGCAACAGCTTGGAGGCTCACAAGGTTAGAACTTGAAACTGAACATCAATGTTCAACTAAATAATTGATAGAAAAATAGAGCTTAATTTTCAGATTCACAACATAAAACTAGATATCGACTTTTGGAAGAGGGGGAGGGGGGAGGTTGAAAATATTGGGCAATAGTTTTGCAATAGTATGCTATTTATTTTGTGGACAAAGAGTTTGGATTGTTTGAGGTTGCTTTCAACATACTTTTCTCTTTTCTAGTCAAAGTAAGAATTATGGTTACTTGTGGTGGAGTTGGTGGTTGTTGATTGTTGAATCTGCACAGGAGATGGAAAGATGAGGCAAAGTTGGAAATTACATAGAACCTAAGCTTTAAATTCCTCCTATTATCCTTTACTTAATTCTTTTTTAGATCAGATTTTTTAAATTATCATAAATTTGCATATCTTTAAACTAATATGAAATGTCTTTCTGCAGTCACATCTGAGGTAGTTTTGTTATCTGTATAGTACTTCAGTGTAATTATTTTCATGCATCTGATCTGATCTTGGATCCCTTGCAGCGGCTACTCCTAAGCAGATTAGAGACCTGATGCAGGTTGATGGTCTTACCAACGACGAAGTGAAGAGTCATTTGCAGGTTTGATTTTGAACTTCCATCTTTTTAAGTCTTTCTTCTCTCTGTTTGTGAACTTAATCATGTCATGCAGCTAATTTTTTTTCCTGCAATTTCAGAAATACAGGCTTCATACTCGAAGACTTCCAACTAGTAGTGGCACCCACGGAAATCAATCTGCTGTTGTATTGGGAGGCTTATGGATAGCTCAAGATCAGTATGGTGAATCGTCGAAGCAGAGCAGTTCCAACTCTGGTTCTCCCCATTGTCCCCTCCAGCTGAACGGAAATTCTCGAGGGACTTCTACCACAGGGGGTGACAGTATGGAAGATGAAGAAGATGAAAAATCAGACAGCCATAGCTGGAAAGTTCATAATCACACATCTGGAAATGGTGATGTATAGACTATCTTCCCCATGAATTTTGCAGATAAAAATATACATGGGAGGAGTTATTATTTACTATAAAAAATAATACATTATATTGAGAAGGATCTTGTGCGAGGCATTTTAAATTTTGCAGAATTAGTTTTATTCTTAGTCCTTGGTTTTGGTATTTGAACTTTTAAGTAAGATATCCCTGTGATTGGAATGAAGAAACTGGATCAGTTTGTGGCACTATGAAAACTATGCCTAATAACTGTTGGGTTCTGATCTTGAAACTGGGTTCAGAATTATTGAAACGACTACAATACCCGAGTTATTACAAAATAAGGGTGAGATTCCGACCCTATCTTGAACAAGTTACAAAAAACTGGGACCAATCTTAGATGTTAGGATCAATCTCATATGATCTTATTTTGTCGTGCACATTGAGTCATAATCTTACTTTTATTTCACGTGCTACCACTCTTACACTAGAAAGAAAAGGTTCCACACCAGCTTTCGTCCTGTGGTGTGGTGGCAGGAGGGCTAGGGGATTGGCTCCGGGTGTAGATAGGGTTCAATCTGCAGGGGTTATGCAAAATACATAGGCCCCTTCTCTTCTCTTTTGGATGAATGGGGTGGCATAGGAGACGTTTTCCGTCTCGTATGATCTTATTTTGTTGTGCACATTGAGTCCTAATCTTACTTTTATTTCACGTTCTACGGCTCTTAACACTAGAAAGAAAAAGTTTCACACCAGCTCCCGTCTTGCAGCGTGGTGGCAGGACCGCCAGGGAATCGGCTCTAGGTGTAGATAGGTCATGCAAATACATAGACCTCTTCTCTTCTCTTTTTGAATGAATGAGGTGGTTTAGAAGGCGCTTTGCTTTCCGTCTCATATGATCTTATTTTGTCGTGCACATTGAGTTGTAATCTTACTTTTATTTTACAGTAACTTTTTAGCAGAATTGCTGGCCAGCTGGCTGCAATTTCTAAGGCCCTTTGAAAAAATTTCTGTTCAACAAGTTTATTAGGAATGCAGGTTGAGTTGATCTATTCTTCTCTATTGGGCCTTCTTACATACCCTAAGGAATATTTTAATTCTTTTTCTTGAAGAAATATATGCCAAGGACTTTTTCCAGGAAACATCAGAACAAAGTGTGCCTTCTAAGACTAGCTTTCTTCCACAAGGAAAGGTCAGTGCTTTTTTCCTATTTGATCTGATGATCTGTCTAACATGCTTGAACCGGCCAAATTTGAAAGTTTAGTGTTAATCGAGGTCAAGTTACGAATCAAACATATCAATTTTAATTCAATTGGAGTTTAGATTTAATAAGTTGGAATCAAACCTAGCTAGAATATTAGGATCAATTGTTACATTTGGTATTAATTTCATTGGATTCTGTCTTAATATCACTAGATTGAATTGTAACTTTTTGTATGTTGGTGAAAAATAATCGTAATTTTTTTTTGAAGTAAATTATACTTTTCATGGGAATTTATAGGATATTTGTTGGAGTAAAATACGGTTCCAAAAAGAAAACTGTGTCGTACGTACGGTAATTTACAATATTTGTGGATATTTTTACTTTTTATCACAAAAAAAAAAAAAAACCCACAAAAAGCTGTTAATTACCAACAAAAGATGTGTTTTTTTTTGTTGTTGTAAATTAACTCAAAAAATTGTAAAAATATTCATTAATATTATAAAATTTGAAAGTAAGATGCTAATTTTTTATTTTTTTTCGAAACCGTATTCTTCTCCTTATTTGTTGGCAACAATGATGTAGTGCACAAACATGGCTGGAAGGAATGATTGTTCAAAGTCAATTGTTGAGCCACTCTATTGTATTATTACAAGTTGACAGGACAAGATTAGTTAGGATTGAGTTTTGTCTATTCTAAAAGGAAAATAATTAGGTAAGGTATCGAAAAACTTGAGAAAATTACAGTTTAAATCCATTGTAATTTGTAACCAATTAAATTCTAACTTTAATTTGATTGAATTGTAACTTATTAACACCAAATTTGGTACCATAATCTTTCACTTCTAAAAGAGGAACAAAATAATGGTCTATTTGGGAATCAATACATCCAATGCTTAACGAATAAGCACTTTTGTCCCAATTGTATAATCCAAGTAAAAGAATGCAAAGAAAGAATGGTTCATAATGCAAGATTCTTGATCTTAATTAAACCTATATGTCTTGGTTTTGACTACTTTTTTTCTACTTGCCTTTCCCCCTATGATGTATATGACATTGAGCCACCAAGAGGAAAATAAAGAGCTTTCACACAAGGCTCTAAGACAAGTAATATTCAATACAACGGAGAGAGTTGATCATCACAAATACACGGAATCACAATTCAATTGTAAACTACCTCAAGTGAAACGTTTTTCACTTATGCACGTGATGATTCTTGGATCGTGTTAGACATACACGTGTGATACTTTGTTATTAGATCGTGATAACACTTACGAAGAACATAGGAGAAAATATTTATTTTAAAAAATGTCAAATTGGTTAAAAATATGAATAATTATCATCTGACCTAGTCAAACAAATCCCAGTTAAAAAAAAACATAATCTGTTGGTATGCTTATCCAAGTGCATGACAAAACAGTCTCTTTCACTAGTAAAATATTGGAGAAAGAATCTTACAGACAAACATAATGAGTGAGCCCACATTGATAGGACCATTGGAAAAGGAATACAAAATTGTTTGGCGAAACAAAAATAATAATAATATGAACACCACCTTTATGCATCACCTTACCTCTACCACATGATGTGGCCTAGTCCTGGTCATTGAAATTTTAATAAAGTTAATGGGACCTACTAATTTAACTGGCTACAGTAAAGTAGTACATAAAAGTGGTAAGTCTAGCATTATTGTGAAACCATAGGATGGAGTAGAAAAAATGATGGACTTGGGGGGTTTTCTCAAATTTTTTATGTTTTGATAAAGTGAATGAAATTTCAATGTCAACAACTATTTTGTTTTCTTTGTTAGTGGAGGAAAGAGAATGGAATATGTGGAACTGCTCTTCACATGGCTAGCCAATTAAAATAGAAGACTCTGTCACCCACATAAAACCAGTAGTACTGTTAAATATTCTTAGGGATATTGATCCTCTCTCTCTCTCTCTCTCTCTCTCTCTCTATATATATATATATATATATGTTGGAAAATTTCATAAGAAACAAACATCCTACAAAAAAGGACAGAGAAAAGGATTGATGGAAACAAGAATTTGGAGAAAAATCTACCAACCCAACACTTTGATCACTTATTTACTGCCCTTCATCTTGAGAAGGGGAAAAAAAAAAAAAAGATGAGGGTGACAAAATGGTGTCAAAGCTACTGATCTGACATCTAATGAAGTGTAAGTCATCTTCTAAATTGGAGGAGTTACTTGGGCGAGTTAACCCAAATGCAACTCAAACTCAGCACCCAAAAAATAAGACACGAGTTAAAGTTTTTATAAAGATTTTTTTGGGTGTGGAGATAATTTTTTAGACTTATTTGAAGAAAAATATATGGATAAATTCTTAACTCTATTAAGTTCAATTTTAATAAAACATATTGTGTTTAGGTACAAAATTCAAATGAAATCAAAATTTTTTTTACCTAAATACACTCTCTTAAATTATGCATTTTTGATTGGCAGTTATGCATCTAATTAAATATGTAAAGATTTTACTAGGCATTAGCATTATTTTTTGTATTTTAAATTATAGTTTTATATTATGTCTCTGCCTTAAAACATGTTCTTTAACGGCTGACTTCCTTCCGATTTCGTTCAACGTCCGACTTGACGATTTCACCTCTTCGATTGCAGTATATTCTTAGTTTATTTTCATTTGCTTTTGAAGTCTATTTGTTTTAATCAAATGATTATTTCTCCAAAAAAAGAAATTAAAAATATTGATCTCCAACTTTGGCTTGAATGTATGTTTTTAATAATTAAGTTTTTTTCTTTTATTCAGTCATTTTTGCTGGGCAATCGTAATTTTGATTTGGCCGAGGTATTTTGTTAAATATTATGTGTTGTTCATTGTTGAGATGTAGAGAAAAAAGAACGTTTTTGGTTTTTTTTAATGGGTACAACTGTTTTTTTAATGAGTGTAACAATCATAGTCCCATGTAATTGTTAAGGCATGATATATCTCTAATTAGATAAAGTTCAAAGATGTACATGGTCTTGTTTTTATGCAAACATGAATTATGTTGCAAAAACTTGAATAGAAGTACAACATATAGTTACATAATAGAGTTACTCAAAATATAACACAATAAAATTTCATAATCTATACTTAATTTATATAGATTACCCAAAATTGATATTGTACTTTTTATTGAAATAGACAACATCTAAAATTAAACAACTATGTTAGGGTATCATACAATAACTATATAGTGTATCTATATTAACCTAATCATTATTCCACACATTGGTAATTGTTTTAATTTTTATAATGGCTTTGAGCTAGGTTTTTATAAGTATTATACCTTTTTGGTGTAACTCAGTTACATATACTAACTACATTGTGTACACAAGTACTGTTATGGATCAGTGTGGGGGTGTAACTTGGTTTCATTATATTTACCATATAGTTATTCATATCATATACACATAATTTTGATAAATAGAACTCAACTCATTTAGATTGAATAATTGACCTTTTTATTATTTTCTTTTAACAAAAATTGGGTTGAGATTTTATCAAACAAAAAAAAATTGAACTAAAAAATAAATTTAAATAAACAAACTATTACCTTTGTGCGATTTAAATGATGATAGTAATTCCAAAACAGTTACCAACAACAGAGATAAGAATGAAATCCTTTGACTTTCAAAATAGTTACTCAACGTTGTTAGATCAAACAAATTTTTTTCAAAATGTTTAGAATTTTTATTCAAATACATTCAATTTTGGAATTACTCATTCAATATAAAAGAATTCTATTATGTTATTTTCATCTCTGAAATTAAGGTTTTAAAATTTTTTTTGTTTTTTGAACAGAAATTACAAAGTTTTGAAAAAAAACAAAAACTAAGTAATAAATTTCATATATGAAACCCGAAGGCAACCTACATTTTTTGGTGAAATTTTGGTCAGCGACAACGAATAGTTACTCGACATCAAAGCTCTGAAAATTTAATTGTCTTCTTCCTCTTTTTTTTTTTTTTGACAAAAATCACTGTTAACTATACAAAATCTATCCCACTTTTAGAATTTCTGAAGAAAAAGGGTCATGATAATTACTACACCCTTAATTACCTCTCCATTACTTCACTGTTGCCAAAGAAGACGGTTGGCAAACAAATATGTTTCATCTATTCCCCTTTGACCGAATGACATTCTCGTTATTTTTTAAAAAAATTGCACTTTAGCCAAATAAGACTTAGTATTGTATTTTTGCTCAATTAAATCTAAAAAATTGTACCAACTTCTGTTTTACCTTTTTTAAAACTTGAGTTGGGCTTAGTCTGAAAAATTCAACCCAAATTGAATTTGGACCATATTCGAGTTGAACTTTCGAATTTTGGGTTTAACCTGAAATACTAAAATTGGGATCAATCCGAATTCACAATATTAAAATAAATAAATATTAAGCATGTTTTAAGTTTTCATTGAATTTATTTTAAATTTAAATTGGTTAAGCTATTGTGTTATGTTGGAAATTGAACCCTAATTATGAACCCAATCTAAGCCGGAATTATTTAACCTAATTTTCAATCTAAATTGAGCTTGAAATTAATTTGGGAAATATTTAGGTTGGGTACCTTGGATTGAAAATTGGGTTCAAATTGAGTTAGGGTTGAAAGTTTTACAACTTGAGTTGAACCTAAATTGATCATCAAACCAATCCAAACCGTCCGAGTTGCACCCCCAACTCAAAACTTCCACAAGTAGGCATGCCAATTGCCAAATGGTTAGATTTAGATCCGCTTTTGTCTAATCTGAATTTGAATCCGAATAAAAAACATCCATTCAAGCTTTTAATAAAAGTTGTTTCTATTGTACGTTATAAATTAAAAAACCAATTGGAAAGTATAAACTTATTTGAGCTGAATTTTAGGAAAATACAAGAAAATTTCAATTGAATTTTACCGAATACATAAATTTACATTCGTATAATTCGGATCCAATTATAATCGGATCAGAAATTAGTAGGTCGGGGCTATTTGCGGCATAGCAATACTGTTCCGGTTCCATTTAGGAGTTGGGCCAAAACCCAGATGGTTGGCCCAGTGGTTGCTAGACCAGGTTTTGTGTGGACTCGAGATGGGCCAACCTTGGGTTGCTCAATGACACAAGTGAAATTCTCCAAAACTCGAACTAAAATATAAATTTTATGGATTAAGATATAAGTTTTTGAATTTGTTTACAACACAAAAATTCGAAATCTATCCCGAAAAATATACAACTTGCTGGATCCTTTTAAGGCTTCGTTTAGATGACAATAATCTTAATTGCAAATGATAGTTGTATTCATAAATATATGAATTACCGTGTTGGGTTTTATAAGTTTTAGGGTTCATGATATAACTTTAATGGTGTCAAATTATAATTTTTTGGCCCTAAAAATTATAAATGACCTCGATAATTTGAAAAAAAAATAATTAAAAACTTATATATGACAATAGGCTACTAATTTGTTTTATTTGAGTTTTCGTAGTCGTCTTCAACTTTTAGAGAAAATATTGAGTGTTATAGTTACACTATGTCATCACGGTGTAAGCATACAATAACAAAAGAATAAGTGCGTAAGTAAATCTCACACAATTGAATAACTACATCTTCATGTAATACAATAACTATTTCATATATAGAAGTGGGGTAAACTTTGTGCATTTAATTTTTTTTTATTATATGATAATGTTATATAACAGTGATAACTTGGCGTGTTACCGTTAGATTGAATATTTACTCTAAACTTTAGGTGTTCAAAAGTAAACCCACAAACAATAGTCCGGTGTTCAGATATCTAGGCATCGCATTCTTGGTTCTCTTGTTTGGGTTCATTATATGTTTACTATGGGCTTATACATTGATTTTCTTATTTTTTGGTTTAACGGTTGTTTAGAAATATTCAAAATAGTTTACGAGTATTTCGATTAATTATCTTTCATTTCTAGGTAAAAGCAAGGGGACGTTGGTCACCATTGAATTTAATTTGTAAAAGTTTTGAAGGATTCAGTAGCAAGTGGCCTATTAGCTCAGTTGGTTAGAGCGTCGTGCTAATAACGCGAAGGTCGCAGGTTCGAGACCTGCATAGGCCATTCTCTTTTATAGCTTTTTTTCCCTCTTCGCCATTCTCATTCTGTAACTGAAATTGAATTCTAGGGTTAGGGTTTGATCGTGTCTTCCGTGAAACCCAAAACCCCTCAACCCTAAAAACGATCGATCGTTCTTTAAATTTGTCGACCATTTGCTTTGCTGGTTACACAATGTGTGCGTGCTTTATCGTCTCCGGCATTCCGGAACACATCTTCTTTATTTTGTTGCTTCTCTTTTTTCATCCTTCTCAGTTTTTGGAACAAAAATGGTTTTTGAGGTTGAAACCCTAGCAGACAAGAATCAGACTGTTCTATTTCTTCTATAAAATCAGAGCATTCGCAGCAAGTAATGGTAACAAATTCGATTTATCACCAGTTACAAATTTTAATTTCTTTCATCTTATTTTGTATATATTTGTGCACGTGCGTGTGTGTGTGTGTGTGTGTGAGAGAGAGAGAGAGAGATCTTTCACAGTGATTTTCTACTACTTGTGAAAATAATGTAGTATAGCAAATTTCAATGAGATTTATGGGGTTTGGAGTTGTTACAGAGCGCTTAAAATCTAGTGGACCTTGCTATAGTAATTGATTTTGGTCTCAATTCTATATTGTGGGGATACATCATTATCTCCTAGTAATTATTTTTATGCGGTAATCTTTTTAGGAGTGCATTGGTTGGTTTTGACTTTTGAATGCTTGCGATCTATCCGTATCTGTAATTTTGTGCTTGCTAACTTTCACCAGAATGATGCGGAAGGCAAGATGAATATGTATGCATAATGCATCGCTGTATTCTATGTATACCATTTCTCTGATCTGGGTTTTAGATACTGCTCCCTGTGTTCATGTTCTGAAAGATTTTCTAATTTCATTTTCTTTTTTTTTTCCTTTTTTTGTTGGGCAGCTGGGTCGGGGGGAACTTCGTGCTGGTTTCAAATGTGATGCATGATGGTGGGAAGCCTTCCTCATGAAGATCAAGAAATTCCAATACTTGGATAAGACTTTATAATATTTTTTCGAAAAACAACTCATGATATTACGAGGTTGCTACTTAGAAGGGTACATGACAATCTCGAAAAAATTGCTCATTATGTGGTGATCAAAAGTCACTGCACATCAAAAGGGCTTCTTTTTTTTTTTTTTGCTTGACATTAAAAGGGTTGATCAATGTAAAGATTCAGAGTCAAATGAGCTAAACCTGCTGTGAATTTGAGACATGTCTGATGTTACTATCTGTTTGGTTCAAATTCAACATTACTTTCTCACTCCTATGGCTTAAAAATCAAAATTGGATGGAGGAAAGCTCTTAATTGTTTTGCTTAGATTGCAGTTAATATCTCCCACAGAGCAATTGGTAAAGCTGTACAATAGAGTATTTGTTATAGTAGTCATCTTGAAGTGGTGAACCTTCTCTCGTTATTATAATGGAATGAACCATATCACAAAGTGTCGGCACTTATACAATGCAAAGTGCTAGTTAAAATATCTAATGACTGACGTGCCTTTCAATACCAAGTGTATTTCCACTCATCAAAGATTAGTAAATATATATGTTGTCTTCACTTTTAGGAGTTGACTTGATTAAGATTCAATGCATGCGCAGTGCAGCCTCAGGCTATGGAATCCTTGTCATTATTTTGTTTTCTTTTTAACACATGCTTGAATTTTTTTTTCTGTGATATATGTAGTGGCTTGTAACGTCAACAGAAGGAAATAGAATATCAACCTAAGTTAATAATGCCATTGGAAATCTCAAAATCACTGTTATTGCGAACCTAAGTCGTGTCACAAATACTTGGCATTTATACTCTCTGTCATTATTCTGATTACTTTCACTTTGAGGTAGGTTCCAGTGTAGATAACTTATTTTAATGCAGTGAAAACAAACGAGAATAATATATCTCAGGTGCATTGTAACGATGTGTTTTTTTTTTTGGGTTTGAATGTGACAATGTTGATTTCACTAGGCATTCTATTTTGAAAATAACCTTGGGATGCACCTAGTATTTCTTTGTAGCTTATAACACTATCAAAAATGCTTTAATTTCATTATACACATGCATATGTTTAGTGATTAGGTGTTCAGATTATTTTGAGCTTGTACCTTGCTTTGAACAATAATGTTCAAATCACAAGCACCTTATTTGAAACACACTTGCATTTTTAGATAATGGCTCCTGGGGCATGACCTACACTACGCGATGGTCAAAATGATTCTTCACTCTGTCGTTTGTTTGGGATGAATTATGTTCTGAGGAAGTGTTATCAGATGATTCTTAGAGTTTAGCGATCCCAATTTTCAAGTAGACAAGGTTCTGTCAAATGAATATCATGCACAAGTGCCGGGGCTGCATCGTCCACTGCGGTAGCAAGATCTCTATTTTTTGTTTCAAAATCAATGTAAGAATTTGTCAGGTAATGCCAAGGATCAAATTTTATTTCATTTCCAGGGAAATGTCCTAAATGTTTTGGTTTGCATAGAAACCGTAGCATATCAGTGCCCGAATATTAAAATTTCTATATTTTCAAGGTTTTTTATAATGTTTCAAAGTATCTCAGTATATATCGGCCAATGGTTCAAAAACCAGTTTTTCATTATTTTTTTCTCTATTTGCATTCTATTACCAAGCTGATTTTACCGAAATGAAATTTTGATCCTTGTGTAACATCATTGTAACTTTAGCATGGTTCGCATAGAAAGCATTCATAGATCATTAGTGGATGATTTCAAGTGGTACTTATCTTTGTTTCATTAGTAATAACTATGCTTTAGCACAGACAAGGCCATTAGGTTGTCACAACCATAGTGGCATTGCCACTATCTGAGCCTAGCCAATAAACTCAGTTTGATCTCCCCTGGTTTTTGCTTATAAATTGCCATCATGCTCCCACACAAGTCATTGGAATTGGAATTGAAGTTGCTCAGAGCTTCTCACATTCAAAAGCTATGGATCATAAAACTTTGTTCTGCCTTACTATTACCTCATGCCTGGTCTTCTTTTCAGCTTCCTTTCCTAATGGCCAACTTAATTACAATTTCTATGATGGCTCTTGCCCAAACTTGTCTATGACCGTTAGGTGGGGTGTCTGGGCAGCTTTTCAGAATGATACCAGAATAGCTGCATCCCTGCTCCGCCTACACTTTCATGATTGTTTTGTGAATGTAAGTTGTTTTTGAAACAGTTGTGCCTATCTTTTAATACACCTGCTGATAGCTTGAGTGTTACTGTTACCCCTGCGAAGGATCAAGTTTTCAAGCATCAGTTAGGACATGTGCAAGAATGTGTGTGTTAATAACTTAATGCTATATATTTTTGTACGAGTGGAATTTTTTTTTCTGAATCTCTCCAAATCAAAATAGAATTAGAATATAGGAAAAGTTAAGTTTCTTTTAGAAGCAACTTTAAGAAAGGGATACTTCTGTTGAAAGTTCAGAGTAGCTTCCTCTGTCCACTAATATGTTCTTATGTGTCTGTTAGTGGCAAGAAAACATAGGCCGCAAAAAATGGGCATGTGGATTTGCACAGCTTCTGATATTTTTCTTAACCATCCATCAAGTTCATTGAATGTTCTTTTCTAAGACCAAACAAAATGGGCTCTAGTTGTTTCCAACCTTTTTGTCCAGCACGAAATAAGAAGCTCATTTATAGGCAGTTTTATTGCTATGCAAAGTCTTATTAGTCCTACATGGGATAGTTTAAATATATATATTTTTTTCCATTAAACTTAAAGAACATATGTTTCCGCTTGGCATGAATGAGTGTGTAGGAGAATGAAGGGGAGGGGCAACTGTCTTGCAATCATATGCACGTTTAACAACCCCCCCCCCCCCCCCCTCCCCATCCTGCAGGAAACTGGGTGTAGGCTTGCAAATTGCTTGAATTGTCATGTGCAACTTCTACAGTGTACTTAAACTTTCATAATATTATATATCCACTCCTCCTTTGTAAAGGACATCTCCCTAGAAACATAATCAGTGACACCTAGCTCTTTCAAATACTACTATGACATCATAATCAAATAGTTAAACTTCGAGGAAGGTAAGAAATTGATAGGAATGTTGAACATGCCATTCTTTCTTGTAGTTTCTTTGAAGCACCTTTAAATTCCTAATGGATGTATTGTAGAACGTTAAACTTCATTGATTATTGTTCGAGTTAATGTGGATTAGATAATTTGTTTAATACTGTTCCTCATCAATTTTGCTTGTTCCAGGGTTGTGATGGGTCGGTGCTTCTTGATGATACTAAGGATTTCAAGGGGGAGAAGAATGCTTTGCCTAATCGCAATTCAGTTCGAGGGTTTGAAGTCATTGATAGCATAAAAGCAGAACTTGAAAGAGCTTGTCCGTCAACTGTCTCATGTGCGGACATATTGACTCTAGCAGCCAGAGAAGCTGTTGGTCTGGTATAGATATAGATTGTTGTTTATGACTTTATTCAACTGAATCGAGTAACCAAATCTATGAGCTTAGACTATGCTGCTAAGATTTATTTATTTTTTGTTTATGTTTATTTATTTAGTCGGGAGGGCCTTATTGGCCTGTGCCATTAGGTCGACGAGATGGATTAACAGCAAGTGAGAAAGCAGCAAATGAAAAGTTACCATCACCTTTTGATGCTCTTGAAAACATCACTGCCAAGTTCGCAGCAAATGGTCTTGATGTGAAGGATGTTGTGGTTCTTTCGGGTACTTGTTCACTTTTCGAAATTAATTTTAGGGTTGTAAATGAACCAAGCAATTAGTAAACAGCTAGAGGCTCGGCTTCTTTAAGAACCGCTCATTCTAGTTTTTTTTCTTACTCGAGATCAAGCTTAAGCTTGACCTAGCTTGTTTATATATTCAGGCTGAGTTGGGCCTGAGCTTGAGCTTTACAAAGCTCATGTTGAGGCGAGTTAGCACACACTTGATTAGGCTCGACTCGACAAATCCGTTATCCCAACTTATTTGGGGTCGGTTACATAAATCGTTTTTCTCCATTGTGCATTATTATGGGTCATATTTTCCGTTAAACCATGAACTTTCATATTTTTACTTTTTTTACTATTTAGATCAAAGTCAATTTCGGCCTAAATATGGAAAGTTTGTATCCATGGAGTTGATTTATTGGATAATGTTGAGATACTTAAACTTGTTGCTTTTTAATGAATAGGAGGACACACAATAGGTCTTGCTCAATGCTTCACATTCAAGAGGAGACTGTTTGACTTCAAGGGCTCCGGCAAGCCTGACCCCTCGCTTGATTCTTCAGTTCTCTCAAGCTTGCGAAGCACTTGTCCCAATGCCGACGGATCGAACACCAAGCTTGCTCCTCTTGACTCTCAATCTACTTACAGTTTTGACAACTTGTACTACCAAAACCTCGTGAACAAGACGGGCCTTCTTGAATCTGATCAAGCCTTAATGGACGATCCAAAGACTGCTGCAATGGTCAATTCCTATAGCATGTACCCGTTTCTTTTTTCACAGGATTTTGCAGCATCAATGGTGAAGCTTGGAAATGTTGGGCTACTCACTGGGAAAGCTGGGGAAATTAGGAAGAAATGTGGCTCTGTAAACTAAGATTGTGCTTGTAATGTTATTGATTAGTGGCTATATGGAATTTGTGCATGCCTTTAATGTTGTTGTTGAACTTGTGGATGAATAATAGAAGTGTGACTCTTGGATCCACTGGCTGCTTATACAGATTATCACTGCTTCCTATCTAAAGAGAGACTAAGAACTTCTTTTCAATGAGAAAGCTATAAATCTATTATGTCCAGGAGTTGGAACAATTTTAAAAATTTAGAATCGATCCATGTTTATTCGATTGATTCAAATCGATCCTATCAATCCTTCACAATTTTTTTTGTATACTTGTTACATTAGAGTTTCTGCAACCCATTGAGACTAAACCCACTCTGTTTTTAGGTGTGACAGATTACATTAGAGCTTTGTGTGACACACATAAAGGAATCCCATCTTTTTGCATCTTTAAGAAATCCAATCTTGTCAAATCTACCAGAACTTTTAGACTTATTGACACAATTGTCAGAGAAGTAGCCCACAATGATCTTTTATTATGTGTTATTCGAAATTTTTCTTCTTTTTTTTTAATTGTTAAGATATTTGATCGATTTATGCGTACTTTGATTAATTATCGTTTAATCTAATCAAAGATAAGTTATCTATGTTGGGACGAAAGTATTCATAAGAGATAAATTGTTCTTGACCTAACTCCAAAGAGTTACCAAAATTCAAACTCAGGACGTCTAAATTTACAATTTATTCTTATTACCACTCGAACTATCCTTAGTTTGTCATTAGAAATTTCTGTTTACAGTAACACAGAACCATAATTCACGATTCTTCCCAATTTTCAAGTCTGGAGGAAAGAAAAAGAAAGAATAGACCGGAAAACATGTAGATTTAATAAAGAAGCAGACAAAGAGAGCTTAGATTCAGAAAGAGAAAATATAAAGAAAAGGTTGGTGGGGAGGCCTGACCCTGACTAAAACTTTTGTACCATCCATGGAGATTGCTGTCCTTGTCTCTCAAAAGCATCTCTCACCCTGCTCCCCCCCCCCCCCCCCCCCCCCCCCCCCAAAAAAAAAAATAGTTTAAGTTTATGGATCTGCCAAATTATTGATGTAAATCATGAACTATCACCACCACCACTACTAATGGACATATTATCTTATTGCAGAGAATCTCTCATTTACTTGCTGAATACTTGACACCTTTGGTTTTACTCATATAAACTTCAACCACCCACCAAGTGGGGTGGTTCAATGATCACTGGCGAACTTTTTATTTTGAGATTAAAAGTTTAAATTTGAATTTTACATTAAAATTCGGTAATTAACTGTTATACTGTTTTAATTAGGTTTATTCTCGAGAAATATAGCATACGCGGTCAAAGACCTCGTGATTTCACTAGTGAAAGTCTATCGAAATGATCTCTGAATGCTCTCTTTTATTCACACTCTTTTTTGACTTATATATATATATATATATATATACTGCTGAAAAAGTAAACCCCATTTAAAGTTAATCTGTTTTTATTTATGTTAGATTCACTTTGTTTAGGAATTTTTTTGTCTTTTTCCGGCCCTTACTTAAGGAGTAATCCACTTATTATGGGATCTAATCTTCTGATTAGCAACCCAAGCAACTCAAAAATCTGGGGGTCAAACAAGCTGGAGAACCCAGCTTTCAAGTTTTTACTTTTCTTTTAGCGAGAACTAGGCCTATCAATGGATCCGATTTTGAATCTTTTTAGTCGGATATAGATTAATATTTTTATCGATAATCTGGACATGAACTCGAATCTGATATTTTATATTTCACGGATTCAAATTTGAATATATATTAAAAATTAAGTGATTTGACTAAATTTTATATTTCACCAATCTGATTATGATCCGATTTGAATGATTTATATATTTTTATACAAAAATTTTAAAAAAGTAAGTGATTATTTAAAGAAATTTAGTTGAAAGATAGGTATAATTTGCTAAACTTTAGTTAATTAAGATATTCGTGTCAGTCGGGTCGGATCAAATTTGAATCGTTAACGGATTCAAATATAGATCACAAAAAATAAAATTTATCGAGTTTTCGGAACGAATTTTTTTAATTGGATTCGAATCAATCATAATGGATTTGCTAAGGTCTTTCTGTGTGTTTTGAGTACTAAAGAATGGATTTAGCCAAAACAAGCTATCGTAATTATAAAAACTCGAATCCAAGCGTTGAACGAAAAAATTCGAGTTCTTACTCGCTAGATCAACCGCTCGTTGATAGCCATAAAAAATTTTCAGTCGAACTATTCTTAACATATTTTGTCTCACCTTGTTAAGCATTACATAATTGAACTTTTAATATACATGTAGCCATCATGAGATGATAGACTTGAAGGTCATTCTATTTTATTGGATCAAAAAAAAAAAAAAGGAACATAAAGAGAAATGGATGAACATCCCTAAAGATTGAACATAATGCTAAACTTTTTTGACCTTTAATAAAGCAAACTTATCTACTACAGGGGAAAGCAAATTTGGAATTGTAAACATAATTGGTTATCATCTTAAGTGCCCACCAAAAAAGGTAAAATCATCGTAAGTGTCTATAGGCACTTATTATAATTGTTAATTTGACAATCTAAGATATGGTATACCTAATCACATAAGAATAGAGTTTAGAAATGTAGATATAAGGCTCGTAGATATTCCTAGAGTCCCATGAACTAAGTTGCACGATACAAAATAGGGTGAGGTCGCGATCCAAATCACTCTATCTCAACCCTAAATGATTCATGATTTAAGTAATTTAACGTCATAGTTTTAGTCTCAAATCATAACTCTTACTTGGTATTTCTTTATTTCGGTATTCTTTAAACTCATATTTTGACAAAATTTATCATAAACATTAAATATAATATTTATAAACTAAAACTACGTGTATACGGATATATTATTCTATACAGAAATTACAAAGCTAACCACGATTCAAAATAGTGTATTAACTAAGCATATCACTACCGTACTACCATACTACGTATCCGTACTTATTTCAGATACCAAACAATCTTATTCTCATTTTAACCATCCTGAGGGTGATGAAATATGCAATGGGTTAATCCTCATTGACTATGGAACCTACTGGCATTTACCTGTATAATTCCCTTATGTAGCATATACAATTAAAACTTTCATGTGCTGGATGTGGGTCAAATTCAAAGGTAGACAAATTAAGCTCGGATTCAGATATTAGCCAATACATTTTTTCTTCATTTTTCTCTTATGTAAATTTTCAGTCATGTATTATTGATGAAGAATAATGTTATTTGAACCTAAAAAATTGACGTAATTCGCTAACATAATGATGTAGTTTCAGTATAAAAATTAGATCAACACCAAGTTCTAATATTTGATAAGCATTACAGTCAATCTAAAAGTTATAGTGAATTAGGTCAACAAATTAAATCAGTAAATTAGGTCCCAATAGATGTAGGTCTTCTGCAATTTTTCTTACCTCCATTTTTCTTTTTGGTAGATCACTGTAATGATAAAATAAATTATATTCAATGAATCTCACTTAATCGGGTGGTCCAAACCGCATATATGTACATGATGCAACGACATATTAAAAAATATGTAATCCAATTTGATAAATTGTTCACAGAAAGAATTTACCAACAAATTGTTCACAGAAAGAATTTACGAACCGTGTAACAAATCATTTTTGTGTGTAGCTTTGGGTGCATGTCTTCCGATCGATCATAGTACAACCGCTCATCGAATATAAATTCAATGGGTTGAAGGTCAATGGGTTGAAGGCTAGTAAAGTCCTGCTATGTGAACAGAACATAAAAAGAACAGACAGAGAATCAAATTTGATGAGTTAAGCCCAAATAGTCCAATTTATGTGTTAAAGTCCAACCCCAGTTGAAGAGTCCAACCTCATTTTTAATCCACCAAGTCCAAGACCGGTTAGACTTTTTGCTTAGCACGTCATCAAGAGGAGAGCATGGGAAGCTTATCTGCACTACCGAAGGAAACGGTCCAATCTTTGACCGCGTTTCATGAAGAGTTCCCCAACCTCCTCCTTCCGTTGAGGATAAGTCGTGATCTCCACCAGAATGATCTTTTAGTGCTATAAAGTAGCCTTGAGGATAAGTCATGATCTCCACTAGAATGATCTCGTAGCTATGATAAAGTAGCCTTGAGGATAAGTCGTGATCTCCATAAAAATGATCTCTTAGCTGCTATAAAGTAGCCTCAATCTGTTAGGAGACTACTATAAAATGGCACGCCCCACCAACACTTACAGGAGACAGACCGACGACCGGAGACCACTGCTTCTTTGATTCTTCATTCTCTCAAAGCTTGTATCTCTATTTTTCATACCTTTGAATTAATAAAATACCCGGCAACTGAAGCCATTGAAGAGTGGACGTAAGTCGAATTGATCGAACCACTATAAATCGTGTCTTCTTTAATTTTCTCATTAATTTCACTACATTTATTATCTACGCTTGACAAGTGATGTACAAAATTATTTTTGTGCATCATCAAAATTGTCAAAGGTTTGACATAAGAAGCTGAGCTGAAGAGGCCACATGGACCTCTGAAGGCTCCCATTGCCATTTTTAATGTCATGTCCAAGAGGCCATTCACAGCTTCTGGCAGGTACTAAAAAGGGTCCTTGGAAAAGGTCACCACACTATCTGTAGAAGTGCTTTTTCTTAGGATTTGTCATCAAGAAGATACGCTTAAACCAAAACTTTCTCACTTTATTATTATTATTTTTTTTAGTTTAATGGTAAAAAATATTTAGGTTAATTTATATATATCTCGATTAATTTTTTCTCTAATCTTGTTAAAAATTGGTCATTCACATCGAAAATAGAATATTTATAAAGAATCTTGTCTTCAAGAGATTATTAAGATTCGAATTCAGGACGTTTAAGTTTATAACTTATCTATGTTATCATTAAAACTACATCTTAGAGTTAAAACTTTCCGAGAATAACAAACATGTACTCAACCTAATTTCTTTAACTTGAGGATTAATCATGTTTAAAATTTTAAACTCGGGTTAAGTACAATTTGAACAATGTGGGCTTAAACTCGAGTTCACTTCTAGTTGAACATGAGTTATGTTCTCGAGTTGAGATCAAGGATAAATGTAGATTTCATTTTTTGGTTCATAACATAGACTAAAATTCCAATTACACTCAAATTCACTAATTCGAATTGAGTTCTTGAAATTGAAAATCAAAATTTGAAGATTGTCTAAATTTAAATTACTATATTTTTTAATCCAAAATCAAATTAAATACTAAAGAATCTGTGATCATTTTTTTTTTGGTCAAATATTATTACGCGGAAGGAGACAATAATATTCGACCTTGTAACTTTAAGGTTCAACAGTAAGAATGGTAACCGTTAATCGTTAAATGTAATCATTTCAATCCCTTAACTTTCCTATTTGTTTTTCTTTAACCTATCACCAAAACAATTAGGACGGTGACCATTAATCGTTAACTAGTGGCCGTTAATTGTTAGCAGTTAACTGTTAACCGTTAATCATAATCATTTCAATTCCCTAAATTTTCTATTTGTTTTTTTTAACCTCTCACAAAACAGTGAGGACGATAACTGTTAACTGTAATAACAGTGAGGACGGTGACAGCTAATTATTAATCAATAACTTTTAAACTGTTAATCGTTAATCGTTAATTGTTAATCGGTAACTGTTAACCATTAATCATAATAATTTTAATTCCCTAATTTTTTATTTATTTTTTTAACCTCTCACAAATTAAACCGTGATAATTTCAATCACCTAACTTTCCCATTTGTTTTTCTTTAACCTCTAACAAATCACACATATCACTTCATGTTATTGCCTTCTCCTACTTGGCAAGCCTTTATGGTAAAGGAATAACTCAAAAGCAATTCCTTCCTTCTGTTTTCCATTAACTATTTTCCCCGTTCCCAATATGTTAAAACTAGGACTGATTATTTATGGGCACTCACTCTCTCTTACTAAAGCCTCTCTCTCTCTCTCTCTAAAGCCTGAAAAATTTTCTCCTTTTCAAAATCAAAACTTCATTATATTTTACAAATTTCAAGCAATTAAAGTTCCTTTTTCTTCCATTTTAACCTTCTTCATTGGCCATCTTTTCAATCTGAAAAACACAACCCAAAAACCTCTCTCTCTCTCTCCCCCTCATAGTATTCCTTTCTGGGTATCTTTCAAAAATGTCTAATACACCGATACCAGACACAGAACAGCAACAACCACCACCCATTGCAGAGACAACCCAACAGCACTACACAGCTCATTCGGGTCACGGGTCAATCGGACCCGTTATTGCAGTTCTTGCAGTGATCACAATATTGGGTGCAATCGCTGTCATGATAGGTAGACTTTGTTCTGGTAGAAGAATAATGGGTCATGGACAGTACGACCTTGAAGGGTGGGTTGAGACCAAATGCTCTTCCTGTCTTGATGGCCGGGTCGATCCACCTCCGCCGCGTGCTGTGGCGGAGAACAGTGTCAGTAGTAACTCCGGCGGAGCCATTCCGGTGGCGGTTCAGATTGAAACACCTCAAGAAAGGAAGGAAGAGGAGATATCTGATCAAAACAACCCACATTAGAGAGCTGATCGGTCTTGAAATGGGTGGGTGGTTTTATACTTTCATGTCTTCATGGTGATATAATTTCAAGGCAATTTAATTTCATTAATAAATTAAATTTAAATAACATTATTCGAACTTTTATTGATACTTTGTAGTTTCAAGTTATTGTGGTCATTAATCGTTGATTTTTTTGGGATTGATTTAGTTTTGTTAATTTTTTTTTTTTATAGTATTTTTCTTTTTGGGGTAAGTAAATTGTGATATATTGTGCATGAGCATATCATGTAATGAAATAGAAATCTTTCCTAAAAAACTTTAATAAATTCAAGATGGCGGAAAAGGTAAGTTCATACTTCTTTGTTGTCAATGTTCATTCTTACCCTTTTTATGTTATTGATAAGATCTAATTTTCACTCTTTATTTTTTGTCATGTATTTATAATTATATATCCGCGCTATACTTTTTTTCTTTTTTTGTTTTTATTTTTGTTTTTGTTTTGAAGAGGTGGGTTGGTTTGGCAGTATATGTCACGGGATACATTTGATTAAGTATTGACGTAACATATTTATCAAATAGGTGAATAAAGGTTTTGAAACTCATCACTACCAACATAAATATCACTACAACAAATAAGAGGAAAGCCGACATTTAATTGCTGGTGTTTGGGGGAAGGAATAGTAAATCCCGACAGTAAAAGTGGGATTTGCCCGCGTTTATCTAAATGTCGTTAAATTTTTTGACATCGACAACGATGATGTTCAGGTCGAACACCAGAAAAATGATAAGTCAGCATTTTTTGTTGCTATTTCTAGCATTTATAAACGCTGGCTATTAAAATAATTCTTGTAGTGTATACGAGATTGGAATGATAAATTATTGTCCTATGGCAAAATTTATTTTGTAATGATTCAAGGGTGAAACAAAATATTCAACAAACTTAATATCAATTTATGATGGGACATTGATGACGTGGAAGAGTCAATTAAATATCTAACGGTTTTTTCCATTAATGCTTTTAGCATTAATTTCACTTAACTTTATTTACCCAAAAAAAATAATAATAATAATTTCACTTAGCTTATATGTAATGTACATTGAACAATAAGATTCTATAACTTACATGGAACAATAAGATTGTATATCGTATATAGAACAATAAGATTTTGTAGATATAGAAGGATGAAGTACTTTTGACCAAAAAAAAGTTCTAGGTTTAAAAGACTTGAATAACTCTCCAATTAGTATTGAAAAAGAAAGAATGAATGATATCCTCTTCAAAATAAAATTTTTGGTTACGGCGGCGATTTTTCGTCGTCTAGGCCTCATTAATGGGCTTCTCTCTTGGGTCAAGATCAAATTGAATATGTTTCTTTTCATTTCTCGTGAACCACTTATTTCTCCGAAACAAGAGATCAGAGTGATCTTCCTCATTTTTGTCAAAAAGTCAACGACGTTACACTATTGAAATACTTAGAATAAATTAGAGTTTATATAAGACACACCGGTACTAAACTTTTTCTCAAGATATCTTCCAAATAGTTGAGGTCGTTGCTCCAAATGTTGTCCTCTCTCTCAATGCGAAACTATTTCATGATTGTTGCTTAACGACCGACAAACCGACTACCAACAACTACAGGATAAGAGCTAAGCTCGCTAGCCACCAACTAAGTCAATGTGCCATTCCTATCCATGCCCAATTAAGTTTCTTTTTATTTGAATGAATGAGGAACAAAGACACATGCAAGAGAAAAGAAAACCCTTATTTGGACATGAACCCTTTTTCTTGACCAAAAATAAATAAATAAATGAGTCGAGTGAAACCAGATTAAAAGATAACAGAAGTCCAAATGTGATATAACATCAATTAATAATTATACAAAAATGACATAGAATAATAATAGGACACAAAAATAATATAAATCCGAACATGACATAACACTAACTTTCAATATACCTCTTAGTTATTCCGAACTTATTAAATACAATAATATTGTTTAGACTAAATCTACATATGACCTAATTTATCACAAAGTATTAAATTGGTTAAGTATTTCAAAGTATACTGTCAATTCAAAAAATAGGAATAATTAGATTAATATATTAAATTCAAGTAGCTTTGTCATTTTTTCTTTCTTGTTGCGATACTAAAAGCCTACTTTGTAGGCAAAAGTGAGACCAAACGTGGAAAGCACAGCCGAAAAAAGGGCCAAGTGCGTATTTGATTTCTGTTTTTCTGTCACCTTTTTCCCCTTCTAATTAATTTTATTGTTCTGATAGTTAAAAAGAAAAGAAAAAGAGGCAAACACTTTCTTTATGGAAATTGATGAATACACCGCCACCAAAATATACGAAATCGGCGCCTTTGGTTCACCTCGGCACATTGTCTTGGAGTGTTAGTTCGACCTCGGCACAAAAGACGTTCCTCAACACTAGGGAGGTACATTGGTGTGCTTTGCCTCCCCTCTATCGTTGTCCACACCTTGGCATACGTGTAACACGTTGGCACTTGGTGAACAATCACCCCGACGTGAGTCCCAACCAAGAGATGAGCTAAGATTTCAAGAAAATTAGGCAAAGACCAGTTGAGGTAAGTATACTCATGATCGAGGAATAGCAGTTTCTGAGCATTATGACTTCAGAGCGGAGTAGATTATCAGTCACTGACTCCCTTCCCCAAGACAATCAGAATGTTCAAAAAGGTAGTTGAATAACCAATAATAAAAGCATACGATGTACAAGACAATTAATTCCTGACACCTCGAAAGTGAATTGACAAAAATACCCTTACACGTGCATAACTATGTCGAAGGCACATTAAATGATTGTGTAAAAGCATGGGATGTATTCATTTCTTGGTGGAGCCTAGCAGCGTACATTAAATACTCGGGGACCTGAGTGAAGATCTACAGAAGCTTCTGTTGCAGGGAGAAACAAACACTCTTATTAAGGTTTGCACGTTAGATGATGTTCTCTGTATGAACCAAGCATGTGTTTTCCCTCCAAGAGAATCTAACTGTCCGCCTTGATCAACTCTTTGAAGGTATAAATAACAACTTCAAGCTCAAAGTTCAAGTAAACAACCTCTGACCCAAGTAATAAACTAGTGTTCTCAAATCATTCTTAAAATACTGACTTGAGTGTCGGAAGGGTCACGCTGAAAAATACTTTGACACCCTTATAACATTTATTTCTTGAGTAACAGGACTCCATTCAATAACTTACTTGTGAATTGATCGTTTGCAAAGAATTCCATTACTATTCACCACCTTTCTTCCTCAATGCCGCTAAGAATTTATCGGCAACCAATAATGTGTTTAATTATTGGCTGATTAAAAAAGAAAAGATTGTTAGCTGGTAAGAATTGTGAGAGTATCTTTTTAAAATTAGGAACCTGTCAAAGTTAATATGTATGAACTAAAGTAAGGATAATTACAAAACAAAACAAAATATAAAAAATTGTCAATATGTACTTGGTCACCAAATATTTAGGCAGGACCGGCTGAAACCATAAGTGAATGAAATGCTTGCTTAGGGCCCCCAAAAAATGAGAGGCTCCAAATTATATTTTTAATTTTTATAATATGGGTTAATTTGACTCAAGAATATTATGGAATAAAGGATTCAAAAAAATACAAAGTTTGTTTCTATCTCATCTTCTTTAGATTTATCCTCTTCCACCAACTCAACAGTTATATTTAATACCACTTACGTAAAATTTCACGTTCTCTCTCTTCATTTATTGTCAATCCAATCACTCTTCGTAATTAAGACATACAAATACATTTACATAATTAAATTCTACCAGCATATATATCTATATAATAAAACACAAAGAAAGTTGAGTTTTATCCCTTATACATATTTCTCTTAAAATAATCACATTACATATTTCTATAACATGTTCAATCATTTATTATTTGATTAATTTATAATTTAACATAAATTTTATTTCAAAAATTATTCATACATAATAGTATATATATATTGAGAAAATTTTATTAAATTACTTATTTTGAGAAAATTTTGTCAATAATTTAAAGAAAATAATGGGTAAAAATAAATTTTGAATTATGTAAGCAAATAAATGAAAGAACAAAAAATTTATTATTTAATATAGTGAGATTGATTTTTTGAGACTCAAATTTTATGTTCTATCGAGATTGATATATATATATATCATTTGTTTGATTTTAAGTTCAAAGCACATTGAAAAATAGAATAGACATAAAATAGCATAAACCCTCTATCTTTATTAAAAAAATAGCATAGTCAGAAAATAGTAGATATATTTTTAATTAGTTTGTAAAGGGCTCCAGTTAAAGTATTTACTTGAGACCTCAAATTCTATTAAACCGGCCTTGTATTTATGAGTATGTGGATTTAATGACCTAAAATTTTGAGTTATATATTTTAAGACAAATAAATTCCCTAGATTCTCTCCCAATTGTCTTTTTCATAACGTTGTCTCAAATAGATTGGTCTGGGTCTAGTAGATTGGCCACATGATGGACCAGGCCACACATTACCATGGGCCATTGACCAATCCACAGGTTGTTCTCCTTTCGGGGAACCTTTATTGGGGGGTGCAATGTAATTTTAAAAGCAACAATAAAATTATTTGAATAATAGAACAATTACAATACTTAATGAATTATTGTATAAAAATCACAATTTTTTGAAATTAAGTTATAGTTTTTTGAAGGTATTGAAATTATTTATGATCTATCGTAAAATAAAATGAATAATTATAATTTTGGAAATTATAAATTACATTATAAAAGTAATAAATTTAAGATGATTTTCTTTGAATAAAAAATATAATCTTAGACGGGATTGTCTCGTGATTGGGAGGGTACAGTAGTACATGGGCATAGAGATCTGTCTGATCTGATAGCTAGGGGTAACCATGTGAGAGAGAACAGCTTTTGTCCGGTAACTGTAAGCACAGAAACAGCCCCCAAAAATTCCTTTCTCCATCGCCAATTCACCATTCCCATGGCTTCACATGTCACCATGAT